GTAAAGGATAAAATTCTTTTTTATCTTTTTACTCTTGTACCGATCTCTTATTTATAGCACCATGAATTGGTTGTCCTAAGACCATTAGGACTTGTCTCCTCAAGTGCTTTTTAACATTTATAACTTAACATATAAGAACCATAAGATATTTAAAACAATTATTTAAATATATATATTGGATTACAATATTTTACTCTAGTCTAAATAAATAACAATCCATGGCACTAATTTAATATCACGTATTGAATTATTGAATAGTCAATTCAACTAACTAAAATCAGTTCAGTTAGTTTGCTGTTAGTATGATATGCCCTAGAGACCAATCATAGAGATGGTTGTGTTTAATTTATGTTTATACAACTTCTATGAATAATCTGTTATTCGGTCCCTTGAATAAATCACTTATTATGGATCATTAAGTATGTGACTTGAACGTGAAACTCTGTAATTAGATTATGATGTTATTCTAAATAGTCCTTGTCTTTTGTCATTGGTTGGGACAATAATGATTTTATAGGCAATATGTGGATTGATTGATGATCATGTTTTACGGATCATGGATATGAGATATCAAGTCAATCACATGGGTATATGTTGGTGAACATGATACTGGACTGACCCGCTATGAAACACTGCATGGATTATATGTGTCATCAGTAGGTTTCATACAATGGTTATGTTCGGTCTTTTGACCTGAGATTATCACGGTTTCCTTCATGAGGATTGTATACTTTGATGTTACCAAACGTTTTCCCTAAACGGATAATAATAAATGTATCAATCGGGTATGCTATGAATCATGCAGAGGGATGTGAATGGTCAAGATGTAATTTCTAATTTGTCCCTCTCATATAAATGAGAGTATGATATCTCTGGGCCCCTCGAAGAAGATAGATTGAGAAAGTGCATGGCCATGCCTAATTAGTTGAGAGTCAACTATTGAGAAGTCAGTCTAACTTCAGGTGCGAGAAATTAAAGGTTGAACTGTATAAGGTTGACACGTTTCTTGCCTTGAGTTCAATCAAGATATCTAGTGATGAAGAGACCGACATATGTCCATTGTGGACTAGGTTTCGTCTGAGGTGACCTTTACATGATTTGGGTAGTCATAATGTCCTGCTAGGGTCCGCTTATGACTTGTGGGCCGAAAAAGTATTTTGGCTCACTGTCAACATCGTGTAAACCTATTGGGTCGCACACAAGAACATGTTGGAACATTATTAAAAAAGCCCACATAAATTTAGTCATATAGAGATATGATTAGTTGTGAGGCTATCGGGTAATTGGATAAGAATTGATTTGATTAATCACGTTTGAAAGAAATACCGACCAAGTTCAATGAACCTATCTCCTAGCAATCAAATTGATATGATCAATCACGGTTTAAAGATATGATTTGATTTGAACAAATTATATTTTGAGAAACCGTCTGATTGGAATCCCGATCTCTTTACGGTTTGAGAAACCACCTCACAACCCTATAAAAAGGGGCATGGGATGGATCTTTTTTATCATCCCACCGTGCTTCTGAAATCGCGAGGGAGAGAGAAACTCCAAAGGCCGCTGCTTTCAAAGTGCTAGCATACTGACACGCGGAGTTCCAACAAGTTCGTGTGGATACTAGTAGAGATGTCGCTCAATTGCCGCGTAACATCTCAACGAGTACGGAAGTCTTCGTTATTTATCTGCACGCTTCATGTAATACTTATCTTGGATCTTCTTCTACGTATGGATCTTAGGATGTAGGCGGTCAAATTTTTTTGTTTTAACTGCATATTAGTCTGCCTACTTTCCAACATTTGCTAGTCTAAGCAATCACTAGGTTCGGGTAAATTGAGAGTCAAGCAATTGTTTGGTCACATACTTTCATGTTTAGTCTGTATATTAAAATCGACTATATAACTGCGACTATCCTTTCACTTTCACGCACTTGATTTGATCTTTTAAGATGAATGGTCATTATCAGACCTACAGTTGACATTGGAGTCTCGTAATGTATATTAGAAACAAGTGAATAATTGCTAATAATTTGCAATATAACTTGCTCAGGAATTTGTACAAGCCCATTTATCCAATTATCTGCTAATGAGTAGTCATCCAATTATCTACCAATGAATATTCACCCAAAGTTCACTTTGTTATTACCTGTTGAAAACTCAAGGACTCGATAGTATTTGACTACATCCAACTTATCGCTTCTTTTGCATTGGTTAATCTAAGTGTATACTTTTGTTATGATACACACCATGAGTCTCCAAGGTCAAAGGATAATTAAATTCCCTATAAAACTTGCCTTTACTTTGACCACTATGTTGTTTCATGGTAATCAAATTTTCACGGTAAGCTTGTTAATGCATTCTGCACCCAATGCACCAGGGCAAGATCTCATCTTGTATTGCAAGATTCATGATAATGCTAAAACACACTGCAAACATGTCACGGTTATTCTTATTCAGCTCTTCAAAACTTAATTTCAGCGATGACACTATTTTAGAGCCAATAAATTATTATTATTAGTATTAGTATTAGTATTTTGATAACTTAGTTTAGAATTGAATCTAAAATCATGGGAGCCGTATTGGAACATCCCAACCATCTGGGTCATCCACAATAAATAAAACCATTAGTGTCCACAATAAATAAAAACCAACTTATATTCATTATCGCCAAAATGATAAGTATCACATGTATTCCTAAACTCTAATAATTTTTGGTTAGCCGTATTCATCCAACATCTTGTACACGTCATCCATCACAATATTGGAGCACCATGTATGAAGTTAGTCAACAGAGGTGTATTGAAGATGAGATTAGTGATTGAGTGACAGTAACAACAACGAAGGTTTCTCATAAATTTTTGGGTTGGCTACATAAATCCTACTCTCCCACTCAATTTTGTTGAGGGCTATCTTCTCAACTAAATTAATCATTAAAATATCCCTCTTAACAATTACTAATCAAGTTCTGTTGCGCCTATCCCTAGTTTTTTTCCCCATTGTGTGTTTGGTAGCCTCCATTGCACATGAAATCAAACAATTCTCAAGTGATTCTTTCATTTTACTACAATACCCGACGTCGGTTCGTGATATGTGACGATAGGAGCAATCTCTAGCATCCTACGAATGTTATCAGTTCCTATGCTATCTATTAATTGACATAACCTTTTGTTCATCGTAGCATTCTCATTTTTGCTACACATTCTTTGCATATTTTGTTTCTTAATTGCCCAACATTTTAATTCTTTTCAAAACTTGTTTCAGATTGCCCAACATTTTACTCCGTAAATGATTATGGGTCTTATAACTGTCTTATAGAATTTTCCTTTCAATTTTAGAGGTATTCTACAATCATAGAGGACTTTGGAAGCACTTCTCAAGTTTAATCATCCTAATTTGATGAACTATAGTATCCTTAATTAAGTGATGAAAATAATTACTCCTGGGTATTTGTATACCGCCTTTATTCTTATATATCAAAGTGCTAATTCTGTACTCATCACGCACTTTCTTATATCTTTAATCTTGTTGAGGATCTTAGTCACTCATTGTGACCTCAAATCTCCAAGACATTTATAAATTTCAAGGAATATAGCCCGGTTGAACGAATCTTTCAACTTCCATTTTTCTTAAAGCATCCTTAACCTTACTAAGTGTCATCTTTTGACGATACCTATAATACCTAGCATGCACTGTTGTCAAACTCTCTCTTATATTCAATATATAGTGACTGGAGGGACATAAGGTAGCTAGGTAGCTAGCTGTAGTAGTAAGGTCCAGCTGGATCACCTTTTCAAGAACTGATGCTTAATGCTTGTCAAGTATTTGCGTTAGTACAATGATATTGTTTAAGATATTGAACAATCTCAAAGTATCGATATAGTATGTGATTTAATTTCAACATAGTGATACAGCATTCCATCTCTTTGCTGTAAATATTGCGGGAGACCAAATTCTTATCTGAAAGCATCAATATAGTGTCTAACTTAACTTCAATACAGTGACACAATATTCCATCTCTTTGCTCTAAATATCTTATGGAGACCTAGTTCTCCTGGAACTGCATGATTTACCTTTTAAATCTTGCGGTGCTTAGAAGTTCTAGCTCATGTTGCCCAGGATATATCTCCAACTTAAGACCATTCTCTCCTTCGTCATCATTTCCAAAAGAAGTCTCAATGACATTGCCATATGAGGATAATCAACAAGTATCCAACTTACTTCCTTTCATCAGTCTTATACATCCATTTCCTTTAATCTTTGACACATTGTTTTACATTGCAGGTGCATTTGTAGGCTGTTCACTTCAAGGCAACATGGTTACAACTCGTGCTGCTGAAAATTGCAGATTCTACGGTTCATCATCAATTAAGGCGTCGGACATCCTTCTTGGATCTGTGCCAAAGGCACCTGCAGCTGCCATTCTGTATCAAGCTTTATCTGATCTATTTCAAAGGGTTCAGAAATGATTTAGAATTTGAAAATTTCATGCTACCACTCAATGCAATATGGTGTTTATAGCTCTTGTTTGGTCGGAAACCCCCATTCTTTGTCTAGTGTACAGAAAAAGTGTGCCAATAATTGTATAGTAACTGCTTTCTCAGATTCTGAAGGTAAATATTGAATTCTTCACAAAAAGTACTGTAGGATTCGTCGAAGTAAATATTGGATTGTCCTTCGAAGTTTGAATGTTCAATTATTGGAGAATGATAGTGGTTTATGAATTGTTTATAAAACATCCTTCATCTGATAATTTCCTTCTACTTTTCATTTGAAAGGATTGCTCATTTAGCATTCTTCTGACTAACCTCAAAATAATCAACTGGGAAATGCAAATGGTATTGGGATTTGGATTTGGTAATCATCTTTCAGCATATCTAGATGTTGACTCAAGTGAGCCAAGAGCAAAGATCAGCTGCAACGTGAACAATTCATTCATGCTAGGGGCTGTTCGGCTCGGTGTAATGGCAAGGATTGCGACTATAACCACGTGCAATTGAGATGAATGCAGTTGGGAAAAGGCTTTTAATTACCGTTGACCACTTATGCAGATTGCGAGTCATAGTTGCAATTTTTTTTTAACTTTATATGGGGTTTAAATTGTAACACAAATTGAAAACGACCCTCTCCACAGTCCCACACGACTCCAAAAATTTTGATATGGCAAAAAAGTACGTGCAACTAGAATTGCCTCTACAGACGATGAAATTTTAAAACTGAACCAAACAACCGCACGCATACCAATAGGTACATGCACTCCAACGATAGTCGTTACGATTCAAGCAAAGCAAATAAAGTCAGCCAAAAAAGTCCTTGCTCTCTGTACTTGTGCATCTGCATCCTTAATTTCTACGGAGACCAAGTGCTAACAATGTCAACTTTTGTATAAGAACGACAAGCCAATTCTACAGACAAGCCACCAGTTTAACTGCAGCGGGAACGTTCTCTTACGTACAACAATTCAAAAATATACAAATAACATAATACAATCACCAAGTTGTAAATTAGCCATAAAAGAATGCCACTGGATAAAGATCATACTTTTAAACACTCATTACCTTTACTAAATTTAAAAAAACATCTTTCTCCAATAAAATGAGAGATACAACATCAAGATCCAGACTCCTCATGTATCCTCTCTTCTTCCCATGCCTTCGCCAATATACACAAATATGCAAGAAAAATGAGAGATACAGCAGCAACAACAATAATACTGATCAATACTCATCAAGATTCAAGACCGAGTAATTGAGCTCCCAAGAGTAAGCTCAAGATCATCATGTCCACACTCCTCATGTATCCTCTCTCCTTCCCACGCCTTCACCGGCCCTGAGTTATCATTGCTACTGCTCCCAAACGCAAACTCGTCAGAACCATCATTACTCATCATCTGAACATCGAGGACATGGCCATTCTCGCCCATGGCCACAGGCGAGCAAGTCCCACTCTGTCCTGGGGTCCACATTCTCGAGGATCCAAACGGGTTGAAGGGATTCTGAGCCACAAGGCTAAATGTAGGAGATGTTGGATGACTGCCATTTGGGATGCAAAACTGCATGAAAGACTCGGTGGCCTCCTCGCTGATCTTGAGGCGACGAGGTGATCGGGCAGTTGGGGTGCTTAACGGAGGCGTGACCGGAGCGCTTATGAAGCCGAGATGGCGGCGCTTGGAAGAGAGGTTCTTGAGCCATGGGAGGAAGGCATTGTTGTCATTTTGCCCATCACTGGTTTCATAGGGATTGGCTGGGTGCGATGAACGAACAGGGCTTGGGAAGGATGATGATGTTGGGCTGGGATTATAGGATGCATATGGACTTGGTTGGTATGAAGAATATGGGCTAGGTGAAGCTGAATGCACAACTGTGTCGATGCGCTCGGCTGGCTTGCATCCCTGCAATGTTTGCAGATAATATACTTGGTTAGTCAGCTTCTAGTTTACGAATATTACTGAAAAATTCCAAAATTATATAATGTTTGGGTATTAACTAAGTAATTTTCTTCTGCCTCGGGTTTTTGTTGAAAATTTAAAGTAGATGACAATACATTACTGATTATCCGGTTTTGGGTGTTGATATGGGAATTAATAGTATTCAGATCTCTAATTTCTCATACAGCTGCCAATCATCAACAGAAACAAAGTTGGTAATTTAAAAAACAAGCCGTTATAATTGGTCATACAAGAGAAGATTATGAAATGTGCAACACTTATGAATGCTACCTAAGTCATGAACTTTGAACTGGAGGAAAAATGAAAGGAATTATCTGCTACATAGTCTAGTAATTGGCGAACAATAGCATTCACATCTCCAATTTATTGATAATCTATCGTTAATTATCCTGTTTGAATGTTGGCAAACAATAACATTCAAGTCTATAATTTATAAATAATCTATCGTTAATTATCCTGTTTGGTTGTTGGCAAACAATAGGATTCACATCTCTATTTCTCGTTCAGCTACCAAACATAAACGAAACAAGTTGGTGATTAAGAAACAATCTAGTGGTTTCAACCAGTCATCTCAAGGGCAGAATGTAAACCTATGAATGCTATCATAAGAATACAACCAATGAACTCTAGAGAGGATTAAAGAAATGGCCTAATACATATTGAGTTATTGAATATCTATCAATGTGACAAAATCAATGCATGACTAAACTTAGACCTTATATGAGATGGATTTGGATCCTCTTCAATGACATCTCCATTACACAGACTACCTCAACCTTAAACGCCTAATAGTATAAAAGGATTGTGGATCATTCCTAATATGACTAACATCATACTATTTGTGACTTGCATTTGGTCTCATTTTTCATTCAAGATAAATCATACTCCATTAAATTCTATATGGTTATAATTTTGTACACATATAACACCATCAGAGTCAAAAAAAGGGTTCTAGATACTGAAACTTTACTTCACATGGGTCCTGCAGAACTTTTCTTCCCAAGTTTTTTTTTGGCATGTCGGATGCACTGTAGATTTTTGCACACTTCACAAGAACATAAAGTTTAGTTATTGTTATACTCAAAATTGACAACAAGTAATATGTTCTGAACCTGAATTTGTTTTGTTTCTGAACTTCAAATTCATAAATCTTGCTGACAATTATCCTTTCTTGAGCTACTGCATCTGGCCCCTATTAAAATGTTAGGCTTCTCATCTATAATTGAAGAAAGCCCATAAATTTTTTTTTTCCAAATGCATTGACTCCAAATAAACAAAGAGTTGTAACCCCATCATTGCATCACTCCCACGCTGAAATTAAACAAGATCCTCCAACCTGGCTAATAAAAACTCCCAAATTTATTAAACCAACTACAACAAATTAAATCATTTGCAAGTCAAAACCTAATTTTGCTTCCACCCAACAACCCGCACCCCCTTCCCACTCTGCGCAAGCTATCAAACCCAGATAGCACAAGCTATCACGCGCAAAATAACTGTTAAAAAAAATTAATTAACTCCTCATCCTCAAATTATAAACCCCAAATTATAGTTGCTATGGTTTCATCTCCGAATTCATTATAATAGGTAATTTGCCCAATTAATTAACTCCTCATCCTCAAAGTTTCCCCAACTTTCGAACCAACGGTGATTAAAGAAAGCACTTTTACCCACTAACTAACAGTAATTAGAGTTAGATCGGAATAAAATTGGGGAAAGATAACAGATCGGAAAGCAAAACAATAAAGATTTGAAAGTGCAAAATTAAAAATATAACCACAATTTAACATCAATAGGGATCAAAGCGTGATTTTTTTTTTCTTTCTTCATTTCTAGCTATTAAGATGGACTACACAAAGTTTGAACGGTAATAACAATGATAATAGTGTGGAGGGAGGTGGGGTGGGGGTGCGGTCACCTTGCGGTAAGTGGTGCCGTCGGGTTCGACGGTCCAGCCGGCCTCGTTGGCGAGGGCTTTGAGGACCTCGTTGTTGTCGCAGTGCTTGGGGAGGTTGTAGTTACCGTAGGTCCTCAGACCGGCGCGAAGCTCATGCTGTGGCGGCGAGGCGCCCTCGGCTCGCGCTCCCTCGCTTCGCTGCTCGTCTCCTCCTTCACGTTGGGGGCGTCCGTCGTTCCGGACGCTCAGTTTCACGCTGGTAGAGACGAGGGAGAGAGACGAGAGGACTGAGAGAGAGAGAGAGAGAGAGAGAGAGAGAGAGATTGGGATTGAATTTTGGGGGAAGATCTGAAGCGAAGCAAGAAAGTATTGAGAGAGTCTCTCTCTCTCTCTCTCTCTTAGATTGGGTCAGGCGTGGTTGACGGGTGACCATGGAGTTGTCAGGTAATTACGGGAAGTGCCACTGCGGACAAGGATGCGTGGTGCACGTGTGTCTGTTGGTCTTCTTAGTCTTTGGCGGGCCGGTGTGAACACGGACGAATTAACCCCGTCCCCATTTTTCAAAACAGAATAAAACTTTTTTTTTCCTTCTTTTTTGTTAATTTAATATAAACTGCTTCTGTTCTGGAACGTTACAACCGTGACTCAGTCTGCGGTTAAAATTATGCAACATCGGCGTCTCCTCGTAAGATTTTCTACAAAGGACCTTCTATTATTTTTGCTATATTTTAATTCAAGAATATAGTTTTATTTGGGCTAAATTGCCAAATTGGTTTTTATGTACGGCACAATTTTGAGATTTGGTAATTTTAATTTCTTGGGCAGCACTAAGATATTGATATCGAATTTTTACTGAAATAACAGATGGAATACTCGCTTGTTTCGTGAGTAGTGTAACACGAGACGTCATGCGACTTTTTTCAAATCATTTTCATGTGATTTCTAAAACATTAGAGGATTAGGCTTAATTTAAGGTTTTTATTCATTATATGAAACTCGGATCCATAAGAAGCTCATGTGAAAACCATGTGACGCTTTTGCATCGTATTCTTCGCCGATGGGAATATTCAGCAGAAAATCAAAATTAATACGTTATTATTGTTGGAGAAACTAAAAATACTCAATCGTTAAGCTTATATTAAGAATATTAATTTGAAAATTTAATCCTTCTATTTAAATTTGTAGGATGGAGGAAGAGATATATTAGAACTTGATCTAATTAAAATATTATTTTTTAGGGAAAATATCAATTAGAAGGAGGTTAGTCAAAAGCTCTATCCCATCTGGCTTAGCCCATCTCAACATTGATCTATTATTCAATTAATGGATACAAAATTTTTTTAATTATCCAAAAGAATTTTTTTTTTTACTGCTGAATGTATTTTTAAATTTTCATGACATCAATATGTGATTTGATTAGATAACAGGGAGTCATCAATGATAAAAACCCATCCAATCCAAAATATAAAATAGGCAAGTTGTTACCCGAGCCAACCCCTCCCCCACGTGCGGGGCGGCAGAACTAGCACAAAGCTCAGCGGGCCCCACACGCAACGCGCCGCTCCAACCGACAGACGCGCGCGCTCGGCACGGACCCGCGCTATTTACGGGGGAGGAATAGCGCAGAAGTAAAGCTAACAGGAAAAATAAAAGTTTATATAATTCACAAAAGAGCCACAAGCTTTTAAGACATTTCTTTTAGTAACCCCTTAAAACTTTATTTGTTGAAATGTATATTTATTGATTACGTGTTTAATCAAGTAGAGGCTTCTCTAACGAATCAGAATATATTAGCTTCTCCTTGTTGAGGACATCTAGAATTTCCAAGTTAAACAACATCATTGTTGGGGTAAGCTGAAAAAAGTTAAAGCTCGTGAGAGTTATTTGAGACACCCCAAAATTCGCGTGGATTCGTCGAGAAGAAATGGGCATTAAGTGGAACGGGTAAAGGTTAAGGGGCTTAGTGAGAAATATCGAATTTCTGGGGGTGCTCGGTAAAAATCACCAAAAAGGGGAAACAAGTTAACAGTGACGGAAGGGTGACAGACATGACGTTCACGTGATGTGGGCCCCGGTATACCCTGCACGTGCGTGGAAAATTAAAGCGTTTGCTCCTAACAACATCTTGGTCCAACCTAGCTGGGACCGACATGCCAGTGACTTGATAATTTAAGCGGGTGCATGAAAACATTTCACATCATGGCGGGACCCACGGG